GTGGGGGAGGGGGGACAGCCTCCCCGGACGGGAGCTCAAGGGCCGGGCAGGACGGGCCCGCGGGCCGGATGTTGCCCGCGGGCCATAGTTTGCCACCTCTGAGCTAGTCACTGGGCAGCAATTGAAGACTCGGTCCCTCCAGGGGGAAGTCCCAGGAATATCTTGTCTGAACACATGGGCCAGGGGCCAAGCTCTTGAAGGGAACTCAGCTGACCAAGGCCTGCCCCATTTTCCCTGAGGGGGTGCAGAGATCACCCCTCAACCTGGTAGGGCCGACCCACCCGGCAAGATCCCCCCCAGCCCACGCGTAGCTGGAGCAGCTGAGCTGGGAGAAAGCGTCAGTGAACATCAGGACAGGAGACAATACAGGTGCATTGGCACTACAGCGACGCCCACCCCTGCGCCCAGCTTACCCGAGTGCTCAGAGAACGTGACCTCGCTGTCATCCTGGGCCTCCATGCCATCCTCCACCCCCTCGTCTTCCTCCTCCGTCTCCCAGGCCTGCTCCTCAACCCCTTCGACAGCCTCCTCGTCAAAATCCACATCGTCCATCTCATTGGCCAGGTCATCTGCGGGGGCAAAGCCGGGGAACGTAAGCACCGGAGGTGGGGGGGGGTCTCATTCTGCCCCCCTTCCACCCCAGCTCACGCACATTGCTCGCAGAAAGGGCCAGATGAGAAGATTTCCCTGGGAGGCAGAGTCCGCTTCACCGGGCAGAGGCCTCCCTCAGTGCACTTGCAAGCCAGTTCCCCTGCCTCCCTGCTGGACAGTAGGGTTTTCAGTACCAGGCCGCACCCATTCACTGCGGCCCTCTGAACGGAGCGGACGCCCAGGAGGAGTCAGGGGCCTGGGCCTCGTTGTGAATGCTACTACTGGGGCCCTCTAGGCCCTAGTCACTAGTGACCGGAAGTCCCCCGTTCCCCACAGCAAGCCAGTGGCCTGCATGTCACGAGCTGATCTCAGTCCACTCGCTGCAGGACAAACATCCACGCCATAAAACCCAGCATCGTCGCAGCTGGGCCCCGGGTTGGCAGCTTCAGCAAAGAGGCCAAGGACAGAACGGGCCACAGAGCCCGATCTCCCCTCTGGGCCCCTGGGAGAGGGCGCCCCACGAGCCATTCTGCAGGGGGTGTCCTGCAGCTGCTCGTCGTGTCCTGCTGCAGTGCAGGCAAGGGACAGAGGGTTCAAGCTGCTCCCGTGGGACCCTCCAGCAGCAGGAGAAGGAGCCGCTCCAGGGATGGACAGGCAGGATCCGCTCGGGCAGCAGAGCTAGGGGAAGGGGCTGCGTTGCAGACAGGCCAGCAGCGGGATCAAGACTCCCCACTGCTCCCACTCCCAGCTCCCCTGATCTGACATGGGTGGTGGGAAGCTCCTGGCCCCAGAGACTCAGGGGCGAGGGGCACCCACAGCAACCCCCCAACCTGGGACAGGGCCACCCAGGGCCCTCCGCAGAGTTGCCACCCTCCCCAAGTCCCCTAGGACAGGGACCCACCCCTCCCTCCGATCCCCTTCACAGCCATCACCCCCCAGGTCCCCAACTCCCCTAGGGCAGCACCCCACCCCTCCAATCCCCCCCGCAGAGTCGCCACCCCCCAGGCTCCCAACTCCCCTAGGGCAGCCCCCCTATTTCCCCTGCAGAGCCGCCA